AGTACTAGTGCTAGTACTACTACTACTACTACTACTACTACTACTGCTGCTAGCCCTCCAGGTTCATTGCAGCTTTCAGGCCGCATGTGACCTTGCTACCAATGCTGTATAGTCGTCGTGGTGCCTGCTGCTGCTGATCTCGTTGCCAGCGTCGTCACGGGGTCGCCGCCTGCATTCTGATCTTGAGAATGCCGGGCGCTCCTCATCGCCACGATCCTCACCACTAAGGTCGTCATTACAGTCATCACCATCACGATGTCTGTCACAACCAATTTCGCAACGCCGAAAAGTAGAACCTTGCAGCACACAGTACCCTAACCCTGAACCCTAAACCCTAAATCCTAAACCACGTATATACCCCAATTACCGCCAAGCCGAAAGCCCTGAAGCCCCTGGCATTTCATCCCGGAGCACACGACCTGTCACGAACTTACCTCTGAACACTACCAAACCGTAACGCCGAGACCCAGAACCCGAGATGCTGAAGGCTTTTTCGAAGTATAAATGCTACTGCTAAAGCCTAGACCATCTAACCCTTGGCCCTAAACCCTGTAAGCCCTGTAACCTCAAACTTTATAAGCCCTTTTACCTTAAACCCTAAACCCTATAAGCAATAAACCCTAAACCCTAAGTGCCCTATAACCTTAACCCCAAACCCTAAACCCTCGACCCTATAAGCCATATAACCCTAAACCCTATGAGCCCTATAACCTTAACCCTAAGCCCTAAACCCTCGACCCTATAAGCCATATAACCCTAAACCCTAAACCCTATGAGCCCAATAACGTAAACCCTGAACCCTAAACCCTACAAGCCCTATAACCCTAAACCATAAACCGTACGAGCCCTATGACCTTAAAACCCTACGCCCTAAACCCTATAAGCCCTATAACCCAAAAGCCCTAAACCCTAAACCATATAAACCCTATAACCTTAAAGCCCTATAAGCCCTAAACCCTGAGCTAATGCGTTTTGTGGAGCACCGGAAAGGCGCCTCCGCAGATGGCGGTGACGGCCAGCAGTTTCGCCTCGTCGGGCGCCGTGGCTACAGCCCTCGAAAAAGTGAAGCTTTAGGGTTTGGGGGTTTCGGGGTTTAGGGTTGAGGGTTTAGGGCTTAGGGGTTTTAGGGTTTGGGGGTTTCGGGGTTTAGGGTTTCGGGTTTAGGGGTTTCGGGGTTCAGGGTTTAGGCGTTTAGGGAGAAACTCGACCGGTTCTTACAGGAATGGGAACGGCGCCATCACCTCAAAGCCCCAATTCTAGACCCCAAAGCCCGAACCTTAGTCGAGCCCTCGAAGCTACAACCGCGAAGCTTTGCATGGAAAGGGAAGGGCCGGACACCGTCTCTTACTTCGTAGGCTGCTGGGATTTGGGGTCAGCATCCCTCAATCTCTGGCTGCATGGGTTACATTGTATACCTGTGGCCCCAGCTACCTACGACTGTAAGGGGTAGATCCCCAGAGCTATAGGTGGTTCTTCTAAAGGCTGTGCAGTTCGAGTCGTCCCGATCGCAAGTTCGCTTTGCCAGCACGGGTTAGTCGGCAGACAGACCCGCCACAAGAGAAACGAAATGCACTACTCGCAGGCTTTGATTCTTTCACATAGTCGTGGCTGCTAGCAGTTCTTGCCCGATGATCTAGGGCTCATTGGCGGCTATTTCGAAGTGTTCGGGGCCTCCCTAACTGCGTGAGTGGCTTTCCAGGCATGGCTTCATGCACTGCCAATCTCAATACACCATCCCCGAACCTTGCGTCCCACGCAAAGCCCGTGTGAAAGCACCAGCGTCCTTCCCAGACTGAGGAGCGACCATGCCGAGAGAGTGCAAGTTGCCATGTGGGCTGCAAGAGATGGGGGCGTGGAGGTTTTCTAGGAGATGTGCTTCTTTGGTAAGCCCTATAAACCCTATAAACCCTGAACCCTAAAAAAGGTTCAGGGGTGGGAACTCCTTTTTTGCCGTTTTTTGTGTCAACCACCTCTTTCTCTCAAGTACGGGTTCCAGAATTCAGAACACTCCGGAGCGACAGTCCCGTGGTATCAAAGCCCGAAGCCAGAAACCGGCCGTTGGTCGGAAGCCTAGGACATGGAGTTCGGGGCTTCGGGTTCGAGGTGTAGGGATTTTGGGTTTAGGGATGTTTAAGGTTTCGGGTTTCAGGTTTAGGGTTTCAGGTTTCGGGTTTCAGGTTTCGGGTTTCCGAATTATTCTTGAAAAGCATTGGGGCTGCCAGCGGAAGGGTGTAAAGTCGGGGTTCCGGGTGGTGGTCGAGAGGACACTCCAGCTTTCCAGAATCGTCCTAACTCCGAGGCCCCCTAGCCTACCCATAGGCTCCGCAGTAGTTCCTTTTTGTGGTTTATATTTAGGATCCTATATGGTAATCCGAAGAAAGGAACTTAGGGGCCTGTGGGTAGAGCCCAGAGCTCCACTAGTCCTTTCGCAGAGCCATGGTAGTGAGAGTTCTGTGTTCTTTGGGAATGCTCATGTGGTGAGTTGTCTGATACATGACCCCCATTCACGTACCTGCACCGCAGGCATTTCCGTCCCTGTCCCCTCAAACCCTTCAAGCTTTGATACCCCTAAACCCTAAACCCTTAACCCTTAAACCCTAAACCCCTAAACCCCAAACCCCTAAACCCTTAACCCTTAAACCCTAACCTCAAGGAAAGAGCTCTTGGACAATTTCCCAGAGAAGGACGTAAAGGCGGCGCCTGAGTCCGACGAGGAGTCTGAGGCCGATCTGCGTTTTTTTGGGGACGCAAAAAATATAGGAACGGTTTAGGGTTTAGGATTTAGGATTTAGGGTTTAGGGGTTAGGGTTTAAGAAGACCTTGTTATTAGGGTTCTTTATGTGAGTCCGAATACTTTGGGTGTTATAGGACCAGGGATTCTGAATCACGTTCCTAGATTATGGGGTTCTACAAGGATTTAGGGGTTTCAGATTTTTGAGCGTTCAGGGGGAGGGTTTGGGGTTTAAGCTTTTGGGGGTTAGGTTTTGGGGATTGCTGAGGCTGCAGGTGTTTGATGTTCATGTCGGGCTTGCGGGGTTTGGGGCAAAGAGCGAAATCTAGGTTTGAGGATTCATTCAGCGAAGCCTGAATGGTTCAGGGTTTTGAAATGTAGTGTTACTGCTGTTTCAGACCCTCTTCTTGTCAGATTCAGCATGGTAACAGATCCGCATTGACGGTGATGTTATTTCTGCCTCTCTGTCTTGAGGGCTTCTGAAGCTTCGCGGCAAAACCCTGACAAGACATTGGAGCGGGGCCTCTATCAAATTGAGGTGGTGCAACTTCATTTACATGTCCATGAAGCCCAGGGGTAAGCCCTAGAAAGCCTAAGCCCTCAGCTCCAACCCCACGTGAAGCTTGGTTCCAGGCGGAGGCACAAAAATAGCAAACTTTAAGTCCATCTCCAAATACTCGGATGTTCGATCCGTATCGTCAGTTATGAGTCAGGTTTGGATCCAACATGAACCCTACTAAACTCTGGGCCCCGCCATGTTTGAAACACACTAGGCGCTTTCAGGGTTTACTGCACGCATGCCACATTCTGGCCGCGCGATGGTTGCTTTGTGAGAGGGCCGGGTACGGAACACTATATGCATGCACACACAGCGATATGCATTCCCTTCATGAGTCTCGATCGAGCATGGCTGACACCTTGCTCAATATTCGAGATGCACTGTTTGGAGGTCCTTCTTGTGAGCATCCTGCTAAGTTAATGAAAGTCTATGATGGGGTCCCCTATTGTTATTGCT